CGTCTCACTTACAGAAACGAGCAGGCCTTCTCACGGTTCCCTCCTTTTTCCTTCACACGCCATTATCATCACAACTCAAAGCTTTGAGAACTTTTGAAAATGAAGCACACTTCCCCCTCCTTCTACCTACCCTTTTATAGTCAGACTACAATCTTTATTCCAAAAATAAATCAGCCTGATGAGAGGCCAGAAAAAGCGAAGCTTAATAGTTTTCCACTTTCATTATTGACTTATGGGACACTAGTTGGACAGACTTATTATCATCACATTTTTACAAATTTCCCCTACAAATAAATAATTCTAGGATATGCCCACATAACTCTGGCGTCTTGGCTCAACATGTTTTTATAATTACTTGGCACTCCAACCGTATGCTACTTAAATCAGGGAACAGTCAACAAGTTATTTTTAGGCCATAGCAACACACACACACACACACACTCTCCGTTATACCTAGCTTGTCATTTATACTCCTTTGGAAGGGGAGCCCAGATTGTCTTTATACTGATGCCATCATTTCTGTTCAACCAATGGTAATAACAGTATGAAGCTTCAGTGAGGGAGCACTCACCATGTATGAAAACTGGTCTGGGCCCTCTGTACACATGACTTCTTTCAACTCCTAGACTAACACTGTAACATAGCTGCTGTTACATCCTCTTTTATAAAGGAGGAAATTAAGGAAGTAAGGGATGAAGCAATTTGCCCAGGGGTTCATGGCTAGTAAGAAGGGACCAAGGCTAGAATCAGACAGACTGGATCCAAAATCCTGCCTGAATTTCCCCTCCATTTGCGACAAGGCGAATGTCTGGCATGTTTGGATGTTAAGCAGGGGCTCAGAATAACAACACTAAGTCTGTGCCTACAGGAGGTATGTCTTTATTTCATGTATCTTTTAAAAAGTTCCTCCCGACATCCAGAGAGACAAGAGGAAGACTGTTGTTCCCCCAGGACAAACAACGCAGAAAAAGACGATTTTCCTGGGGTCTCTGATTACTGAGCATAGCCTTTCACACTTGGTCATCAAACTCAGTACCGCCTGTCAGTGTTACTTCAGAATCGTTCGTGATTATGGAAGAACGTGTACTCTGCATGGTTCATCCCTCGGGAATTATGATGGAAGGTTTTATAGTCTACAAATTGAACTCCCTGTGTTATCGTATCTTCCCTACGGATCAGCCTCCTGAAGAGATTGTCTCTCCTCCCCTGCTCCCCACTGAACACCGCTGGTGCAGCACCAGGTCCGTGGGGGGACTGGGTCTGTCGGTCAGTCTTTGTTTCCTGACAGCACAGAGCAAGTACAGGCATGGGCCTGACATATCCACGTGGAAGGGAGAGCTACAGCCCCCCGAGGAGGCACCCAGAGCCCTCCCACTCCGAGGGAGAGAGGCTTCTCCACAGACCCGAGAGCTAGCTAGTCAAGGTGGAAATTTAAGTTTGAAAAAGTGGGCGTAAGACTCTGAAGTATTCAGGAGTGAAAATGTTGTCTGCACTGTACTATACAATAGCCGCAGCCTTATTAATTCTAGAGCAGTAACTTTAAACCTGAAACATATCTGGCTATATTAATATGTTGCCTGTACTATAAAATATTTCAACAACCGAAAAAGGAAGAGAAAGTCAATAGGGCAATTATGAACAACTGTTTAATCTGCGTGGTAGGTATACAGTGCTCTTTATCCCCTTTCTTATTTTTCTGCATATTTGAAAATTCTTATAATAAAAGTTTTAAAGGCACAGAGGTCTTTAAGGAGGAGGCAGGTGGCGGTAGATTATCCTTTTCAACACAGGTAAACGATCATTTTCCTGAATCCAGCTTTCCTGAAAAGGAAGGGTACCTTATAAACATCAAAACAAAGATGGTGGCTCTCCTTCTGGGAGGTCCAAAACCATCTAGGCTTCTTATTCAGTTTGGTTAAAAATCATACTGAAAATCACCTTGGGGTAAAACAGACTGTAATTCTCTCAAAGGTTTTGTAAATCCCTAAATATTTATGCATTTGGATCATTTTCACCAGAAGGAGTAGAAGCACTGGTCTGATGTCATTTATTCTTCAGAAGATGAGAATAAAACATGGATTAGACACAGGTCACAACAGGGAGGGGACTGTAAATTAGAACAGTAACTTAATCCCAGGGGCTTCTGCGCCTCTGATCAGTTTCTCCCCAACCTGACACAGCATTACTAAAATGGTAACTGAGCAGCCACTCTACTTGACAGGCAGTACCAAAAATGGAGAACATGGCATTGAAACAGGGGGACAGAAAACTTGGACAGGGGAGGGTAGCAACCACTGTTTACAAGTTTACAAACATAAGCCAGAGAATCATTTGGGCCAGCCATAAATTACCCAAGATTGTACTGAAATCTCTCAAAATAAATTAATGAGGCCTTCAAAGTTTCTACCTTTCATTCTAACTACCTTCACCACCATAGTTTCCCTGCATAAAAAATCACTCATTCCAAAATGGTACCGCTACCACTTCACTAAAATAAAATCTTGCATCACCTAGGGAGGGGATTAGTAAAATAAACCTCAGCAGAGAAGCCAGACCAGAATAGTCTGCTTGACCCACTCAAGACTTGGGAGAGGTTGCTGGCCATGTCTTCTGAGAGATGCCCACCCCATTCTTCACCTCCACGGTGCTATGGTATTAACCTTTGGTATACCCAGATGAAAGGGTAGCTATGGGTATCGTAATTATGATCACTCTCCTTTCTTTCCCATCTTGGTCCCAATTTTAAGCCATTCCCCCCAAAGAGACCAACATAATAATGATGACAATAATAAATAAATTAAATTAACAACCCTTTTGCTCCTAAACTATTTTCAATCAAATTCCCAGATATTTGAAGGAAAAGCACCCAAAACTACAAATAATCCAACCTCTACCACCAGTGCGTCTTCCAGGTCGACCGCCGCTGTGTCTCACCAACCCGAAAATGACGAGCCCTCACCGCGGCTGCCTGGGGTGCCCAGTGGTGAGGTCAGCAGCATGTCCGGCCCCGCCCCACTGAGGCAATCTTAACTTCACTGACACTGAGGAGCAAGCCCAGGCTGCCCGGACTCTCAGCTACATCGACGGGGAAAGAACCCCACTTCCTTTGGTAGCACCGGGGAGGTTCACTTCCAAGCAATTGACAGGCCACCCCTAAACACAATAATGTCCACTGCAAACAAGAGGGTAAGATCTCCAATTCCGCCTAATCATCCGCATGTTCAAGTCCAGAGTCACCTTAATTTGTATTGTTCGATGTCTGTCCTCAAATCACATAGACACAAAAGGTCTGCATTTTCCTATCATCGACACTACATGAGCAAAGAGATGACCCACAAGACCACTAGCTACCCCTCTCTTTGTTCCCCAAGATAAACTATTACAAATGAGAAATTTGTGGACTGTATTTTCTCATCCAAAAAAGACAAAACAAGCCAAGATCACGGTGAGAGAACACTAGCTGCGTAGGCCAACTGGGAATAACTCAAAGTCAACCGAACAAGAATAGAAAACAATAAAATACAGAGCTACACAGAGGAAATCTGAATGTGTCTGTAACCCTAAGAAAATTCATCAACCACAACAAAAATGCCTGGGCCCTGCTGAAATTCTCTGGATATGACCTCCATCATGTTCTCCTTCCTACCAGAGCCTACCAACCCTAAGAAAAGTTATGCCTTTGTGGCAGTTGAGCCCAATGACAGCAAGCTCAAGAAGAGCTGGAGGGGATGGGATGGGGGTCGCGGGGGGTGGGGGATTTGTCAAAGTAATTCAGAACCATATTTCCAAGAATGCTACTTAATAAAAGGCAGAGTGCATGATCAAGAAGACAAGAAGGAGAGTGGCAGAGCTGTCACACAAAGATAAAATAACTGACTTACTCATCCCAATGGCCTATTGCATTTAAATATGCAAGGTGTTCAAAAAAACAGAGCAGTACCTCTGGTCAACACACTTCAGGAGACTTGGTAGTGATGTGGCCCAGAAACTGTGTACCTTAGCTCAAAACACAAGAGAAGAAAAGAGAGAAGATGACCATCTCTCAGCGCCCTCAAAGGACAGAAGACACCAAAAAGAAAGAGTGGTGTGTAGTGCCCCAAATTATAACATCTGAGGGCAAAGAGCAGCGAGTCAGATAGACACAAGATGAAGGCTCCCCTGCTATGTTAGGCAACACTGTGTGAAAGAAGCTCAGAAAACAGTGGGTAATTATTTCTTCCTGCCCAGGCTCAGCAACACTGACATCAGAGTTATTCTGCATTCAGTGTAAGGGGCCAAGTGACCGACCATCCCATCTTGGAAGGAGCCATGAGGCCAATGGTTGTCAGAAGAGGCCAGAAAGAACAAAGGGTTGAGGAATATTTCATAAAAATGTCTCTGTCCCCTTGGAGCTTTGGCAGAAGAATGGATGTCATTGGTACACTTACGCTTTGGTGCTGGGGGGCTAGAGGGTGCTTACAGGAAAGACCTCTGCCCTTCTTGAAGGTCACTTTATAAACCATAGAAAAGCCAAGCTAGTCAGAGGTGAGAAAGAAGATTTCCTATAAAAAGCACTGGTACCTGAAGGTTTACTGATAGTTCACCATAGCTTCTGCTTCCTGTGGTCCATCAACTTTGGTTAAACCTGAGAGACAGTAACTTTCCAACTGGTTATTGACTGGAATAGCGCTACCAGACCAGCTATGACTTGAGATACCATCTGGTGGTACACAGCCCCACTAAAAGGTGAGAGAACAGTCTCAGAGAGGTGAAATGCTTGCACAGTACAACTGAGAAGCTGCGTGGAGGCTAGAACCTGGGTCTTCCGGCTTCTGGTTCCATGCGACTGGTTTTTCTCACTACAGCAAAATAGTTAAGGGCAAAGAAGGGAAGACAAGAAGAAGGAAGTCTATTTTGGTCTCACGTAGCCACGGTAAGGAGAATCCTGGCACTTCTAAGACAAACCCAAAGTGAACCCAGACTACCCAGGACTGTGCTTGGGAGGGGGACAGGGGCATTACCTTTCAACACCAGAGGTTCTTTGCCTTCTCTCTTCAGGGACTCGAGGACTATGTGAAGTGGCTGGGAGGGCATCACTCGGCTCGGCTCATTGGTATTCTCATCATAAACTATAATTTCTTTGGAAAAGATCCTCTTGAAAGAGTCCTTGCCTTCCCTACAGGAAATCAAGTCTAAGACCGTGATCTTGCCCTGCTGCAGTCTCCGCCGGCTGATCTTATCGGCACAGTTAATGTGGACAGCTCCTTGGATGTGACTCTTGTTGTACTCCATGAAGGGCCTGCAGTCAATGATGACAGGGCCCTGGCTCGGCAGGTGACTCTTGCTGCATTTGGTCATCTTCTTCGCCAAGTCATTGGGGTAGATTATTTTGATGCTGGCTAGCTGCTTGGGGGTCCCTGACACGGGACTGCCCACCCCACCTGATGGACTTAGAGAGCCTGCATTTTCATTGTTGTTGACCATCTGGTTGGCAGGGCAGGTGGTAGAGGTTCCGATGGCGGTGGTGGCGGTGCCGGCAGCGATGGCTTGGGTTTGGGCCTGATTGTCCTTGTCGTAGGTTGCCACAGTGCAGCAGCTGGCACTGCTGCATCCACAATTCAGGGAGCGGGCAGAGCCGCTGGATGAGGGCATATACGTCAGATTCGCAGCCTTGAGGGATACGACGGTGGTGGCAATGACAGGAGGGTGGCTGTTACTGCTTGGGGCGGCAGAGCCAAGGTAGCTAGAGTCTAAACAAAGGTTGAGATCCTGAGGTCGGACGGGCCTAGACAGTGCCACTACTACCCTGTCGTCTAAAGGAGACGGAGGCATGAGGAGGCTGAAAACTGGCAATTGAAGAAGAACTCAAGACAGTCTGTAAAGAAGGGGAGGGGGAAAGAAAGAATAAAGTCACGTGACACAAAAGGCAGTCTGATCCAAACCCTGGGAAAGGCCTGTGCATCCCTCTGAGTGAAGTTGTCCTAAGGGCCCTTTATCATGCCACTCTCCAAGCCCGAAACTCATTTTTAGAGATTCGAAGACGATGTCAACCTGAGGGCCCCCACCTATTTGGTGACTAAGTCTTAGGTTCCACGTACGGTCTACACAAATGTTGACGAACAACCTCTCATGGACCTACATCGAAGTTCAGCCTCGGAGAAAGTACAAGCACAGAGAATCAGAAAAGCCGAAGACAGAAGGGAAGGCTCTTAAGAGGCATCTATTCCGGGCCTCATCTCCTGGGCAGAAGCATAGTGCAACCATATGAGAAAGACCCATTTGTCCCCCCTTGCATACTTTCCGTTTAAGTCCTTCACCCACTGCAAAGGTGAGGGAATGACCATGAGAGCTGGCATGGCTAACCGAAATATACAGCAGCTAAATATACATCAGGGGCGGATGGCAACTTTCTGCGAATCAGAATGAAAGTATCCCCCAAGTGAATCTCTTTAACTAGGAGATATTCTTGCATCCCTTTGAAAAGCACAACACAGTCATATTAAAACCTCCCATGTTTCCTGTTAGTCTCTTATAAATTAATCTGCATTTCCCCTTTTGTTACAAATGAACTGTCCTAAAACAAAGACTCAGGTCAAGAAGCCAGGTCTGGTAACCCCCCAACCCTGGCAGATCCATCACCCTTTGCTCCTCTGCTGCCCACCTCAATCCCCCACTCCGCCGCCCACACTTCTGCCTTTAAGAAAAGGACCACTTTGACTGCCCACTCCCAGTTCCCTAGTGGCACAGACTATGTATGCATCCCAGAGCTTCTCTCAATGGGAGGGAGGGAGCCACTGTGTATAACATTTCAATCCCCCACAAAAAGACCCCTGCCCCTTGAAGAGGATGAGTTCCATAGAAAGGACTTCCCCTGTTAAAGGGGGCCGTGAGGTGTTGCCCACTGGGTCCACCTCCTGTCACCTGAGAGGACGCCTGCAAAGGAATACAGTTCCGTCCTTCCCATAGGCACAGGGGCACTCTACAACCCGACCCTACAGGCTCTTCTTCTATTACACATACTCAGAGAAAAGAAACCAAACCCCATGCAAGAGTCCTCACCTAAACGAACTTTAAGAGATGTCTGGGAAAATGTCATCTATCATCCATCTACACACGACCGTCACCATTCTCTGACACAGAGCCAAAGTATCACAGGCAGAATCCACACACGCGAGCACACTCATACACTCAGAGACACGCACCGGACACGTCCACAGATCCCCACCGACTCACGTTTCTCTCACCCACCTTTGGATGGGAGAGAAGGATTCACCCCCGTTCCTCCCTCCTGTCCTCTCACCCCTTCCCTCCCCGCCCCTCCTCCCTCCCTCCCTTGCGTAGTATTTTTTTGAAGAGCAAGTACTCTTCCAGAAGCTATAACTGTTTCCCAGCTGGACCAAGCGGTGAAAGTCTTTGCTATTGTGTTATCAGGTAGGGTACGTCCCAGGATCAACAGCCCATTTCCTCTGCGAGGGACGCATAAGCGTGTTCGCGGAGACACAGGCTGGGACCCCCCACCTCCACACGGAGTGCGCGGCTGGCTCTTGCTCTCTCTCTCTCTCTCTCCCCGAGTGTATAAAGAGATCTGCATCCCTGCAGCAGAGGGTCGGGCGTATATGTTGCCCGTGAAAGCATCCAGACTGGCCCAGGAAACCTCCCAGAGAAACACTATGCTATCCCCTCTCCCTTGCTAGTCGTCCTTCCACCTCTAGGCAGGGGCTGGAAAGAAAATTAAGTCATTAGAGAATGCTACTTCCCCACTTCTGGGCGCTTATCCCCCTTCGCAACACAGCGCACTAACAAGCCCCTGGCATTTAAAACTGCCGCAAAACATCCCAACAAACCTCATTTTTTTTCTTCTCCCCAAATCCAAGTAGACTGCAGGGAGAGTAAACGCATTGGGTAGCGTGAGCCATCAGCCGGAACCCTATAACCTCACCTGCTGTGGCTCCCTCGTGAGCATCGCATCTCACACACACACACACACACACACACACACACACACTCACTCGCACTCACACTCTCACCGCCTTACACTCCCGGGCTCTCAGGAGTAACCTCGGTGACTTCCACTTACTTCATAAATAAGTGTAGCCCTCCACCATCTGGCGCTCCGCTTCAGCTAAGGATTCGCCCATTCAGCCCCCATTCACTTGGCTTCATTGATCTCCAGCAGCAACATAGTTACTTTCTCTTTTGCTACACTGTAAATGTAAGATCCCGAGGGGGCGGGCCGGCTGCCGACCGACGGCACGTTGGGCCAATAGAAATCCGGAGAAAGCTGACCGCTACCTCACAGCGGCCCGCGGCCAATGGACAGCCTGGGGGGAGGAGCCAGGGGCGTGGCCTCGTCTCTTTAAGGAGGGTTTATCCGACGCCGCTTCGGGTCCACGGTGTTATAACACGGGCGGTGATGTCATTGGCAACCAATCAAAAACTTAAAAGGGCCAGCCGGGGCCCGCGCGGAGCAGCTGCTCTCTATTTACATGTAAACCGAACGGGCTGGATGCAGTTAACCCTTTCTGGGGCTGAAGTGTCAATGGGCCAAGCTCGCCGCTCCGGCTTAAAACTGGCTCTGTCCCTTTGCCCGGACCCCGCTGAGTCCCCCTAGCCCGGGGGCAGATCGCGCTTTCTTTTTCCTTCTTACTTGGGACGGAAGATCAAAGTGTCGAAGTAACTTTCTAAAGGCAAGAAACAAGAACGATCGCCGTCCCCAGTGGGGAAACCGGGTTCTCCGAGTCGCTCGAGGTATTTTGACAAACCCTAACCCGAGATTCAGAGACGTCGCCGAGCCTCCTGCAGTAGGACCGACGTGAGCACGCAGCCAGCGGCGTCGCTTCTGCACCGGCCCGCGAGCACCCGCCACGCGCTGGGGCCCGGGACCCGGGCGCAGCTGGGGAGTCGGCCGGCGGGACCCGGAAAGCGAGGCCCGTCCAGCCAAGCTGCGCCCCGTGTCTTCGGGCCGCCCCGCTCAGCTCCGCGCCGCGGGGAAGCGTCGGCCGCCCGCCCGCAGATGTCGCTGCCCCTCCGGCTGCCCTACTGCTACCCGACGCGGCCGTGGCGCGGCGCCCTCCGGCTCGCTTGCATCTGCGCCCGGGTCACGCCCCCGCTGTCCCCCGCTGTCCCCCGCCCGCTTCCCGGGGCTCGGCCGGGAGCACCGAGGCGGCGCTGTGGAGGGCTGCTCAGAGGCGGCTCCAGAATCCACGGGGAGCGAGCCCGCTAGGCCCGGCGTCGCGGTGCTCGCCATGCGCTCGCCACACCCCCGCGGCCGCGTCTCCAGCCTGCCGCGCAGGGTCCCCGAGCCGGGCCTTCCGCCCGCCTTCCCCGCGCCCTAGCCAGCCGCCCCGCCACCCCGAAAGGCCCCAGGCGAGCCGAGGACAGCCAGCCCGGCGTTTCTGGAACACCGCCGCGGGCGGAAAAGGAGCTGGAGCTGAGTGTAAATAACCAGATCCAGTGTAGCCTGCGGAGCGTCGAGGAGGCGACGCCGACCCCTGGGTTTTCCAAACTTTTTTTTTTTTTTTTTTTTTTGCCGCCCGCGGGGTGGCCAGCAGAGGCACCCATCCAGAGGCAAAGAGTGGGGGGCAAGGCAGGCTGGCTTGCGCCTGGGCACGAAAATATCAGGGAAACTGCCAGGAAAGTTGTGATGGGGTACGCAAAGGAGTGGAGATGACAAGATGAACTGCGGAAAGCCAGCATCAGAGAACCGTAAAGAAATAGAGCTTTTCCTTTTCCCTTTCCTGTCTCAGAGAGACAGAAGCGAAGGAGTTTAATAATGACAATGGAATACATTACATTAGGAGCACTAGAATATTTGGCTATGAGTTTTCTCTCTTACTAGATTGAAGGTGTTTGGAGACATACTTAAGGCTCCAGGCCTATTAAGTAAACTAAGTGGCAGCGACATATTCATACAATTCATTTAAGTGCTGATCTGAAATCAGAAGTTGCCAAAGGATGGCCCACTACACACTCAAGGAGCTGCTAAAGAGAAATGAATCCTCTTGGATTCCTTGGGGGATTGGGAGGGGCGGGGAATATCTGTATAATTTTTATGTATGTGTATATGCATACGCAGTTCAGCTTTCACACCCATGTTTCCACGTGCAGTAAATGCATACAATCATCTTTAAAAGAAAAGGGTTTTGTGTAGCCCTTTCTGCATTCACACACCAAAACACATACACGTTCACCCCCTTAATGATAACTAATGAGTACTTAGAGCACACCTTTTGGTCCTTACACCTTGGGGATCAGCAGGTCCTGGCCAAGGAATTGGTTGTGGGTAATTTCATAGAAATCAGAAAGGAAGTTCCCAGAGGGTCTACCTGGATCTATTTGGAGCTGTAATCGCTTGCCTTTCCCTAACCATAGACAATTATTGAAAAAATGTTCATTAATTTAGGGTCAGAAAGTTCTGGGTATAAGTCCTGATTCTGACTCTCATCTGTAGTGTGTGTTCATCCAGACTCACTGTATTCATTTATTTATCTGCAAAATGGTAACATCCCAGCCCAGAGGGAAAAGGGAAAAGTCCTGGTGGGAGTGTAGGGGGAGAGGGTTTGCACGGGAGGGGACACTCTGATGACTCTGCCGATAAAAGGCATTCAGTAAAAAAAAACATTGTCTAGGCATTCAGTAAAAAAAGCATTGTCTTTGCTTCCAGAGACTCAGTGCCTCTGTTTAAAAGCACTTGTGATCTGTAGATTATCAATTCATTGCTAATGCCTCACTATCTAAGTCCAACGAAGTAGGGATTTATACAATTGTAGAAGAGTTTATAACAGCTTTTCCCAGAGACCCAGAAGGGGAATGTCACTTCAAAAACAAATTTAACTCACTTAATGAGATAATTATTTTATTATAGTTTCAAACTAGTGGATTATTATAATTTAGTTGACTAAGAGTCGAAGCTATCCAAGCTGAAAAATTAGGAAAAATGGCAAAATTCCTCACCATTTATCAAACTTGAAACATGGAAGAATTACCAGATCATTAACATATGCAAACATGTAATTATTTTTTTAATTAAGCATCTCTAAAGGTATAGCTTATGTTCAAATTATAGAATGGTAGAAAACAGATTACAGATGGCTATTTTCACAGTCATTATACTTTTGAGCTTCTTTTGCACAAAAAGAGGTGATTTTGTTTTTTATTTTGTTTTCAGTCATAAATGTGAAAACACTATCTGAAGTACTGCCCTTAGATTTAAATTTGTAATACCAGCCAGCCAATGGCTATGAACCTGAGCTGTATACAAATTGCCAGCAAAGCCTTAATGTTCAATTTTAGTCCCAAAGAAACAGCAAAGCATCTTCACTGCATTTGAGTGTTCTAATATGATTATGCTGAACCACATCTTTGTTCCAACAAACAACATGAGGAAAATATTGTTTTGGTGGAAAGCACTATGTGTTAAAGCCAAAAGATGAAGATAACTTAAGCCAACATATAGATATAATATGGATAATTTGAAAAAAGAATGTATTAATTAAATGACTTCCTTGATGTTCTCTCAAATGAATAAGTGTGTGTTTGATGATGGCAGAAGGTAGGGGTGGATGTGAGAGCTGGGTTTTCAAAATAATCCTCAAGGTCAAGGTGGATTCCTGGAGGTACTAAAATTAAGGCAGAGAAAAACTTAAAGAAAACTTGGAAATAATACAGCACAGGGTAAAGGTGTTAGTAAATTACCAAGAAGTGGGGAAAGAGCTGAGGGATAGAAAGATGAGGTGTCCAAGGAGCTGAGGTCATTGAGGCCAACCTTGGGAAACATCCTGAAACACGTTCCAGGGCCAGAGAAAGGCTGGTGAGAAGGATCCACTGAAAGAGATGGCCGCTACTGTGTTTGTGGGGTGATGGAAACAGAAGGCGGGCTCTCTGCTGGTCTCATTCTCCGTGAGTTTGGACACAAGGATGCCTGCAGAACTTTCTCGCTAAAGTCATGAGTAAGTTGCACCTGTGACTCTGGAAAAGGCTCTGAGCCATGGAAGGTTCTGGATCTGCATTTTCCAGTACGGTAGCCATTTGCCACAAGTGACTACTGGACACTTGCAATGTGGCAAATATGAACTTAAATGTGTTGTGAGTTTAACATCCATGCGGGATTTTGAAAACTCCATGTAAAAAAATGTAAAATATCTCAATTATTTTTATGTCAACTACATGTTGAACTGTTTGGCTATATCAGGTTAATATAAAACATTTTTTTAAAGATTTTATTTATTTATTTGTCAGAGAGAGAGAGAGGGAGAGAGAGCAAGCACAGGCAGACAGAATGGCAGGCAGAGGCAGAGGGAGAAGCAGGCTCCCTGATGAGCAAGGAGCCCGATGTGGGACTCGATCCCAGGACGCTGGGATCATGACCTGAGCCGAAGGCAGCCGCTTAACCAACTGAGCCACCCAGGCGTCCCTATAAAACATTTTTTTAAAGATTTTATTTTTTTATTTGAGAGCAAGAGAGAGAACATGACCAGGGGCAAGGTGTGGAGAGGGGCAGAAGGAAGAGCAGACTCCCTGCTGAGGACCTTAAGATCATGACTTAAACAGAAGACAGACATTTAACTGACTGAGCCCCTCAGGTGCCCCTCAATAAAATATGTTAATGAAATTAATTTTACCTCTTTCTTTTTACTTCTTAGAATATGACTATTAGGAAATTGGAAAAGACTTAAACACTTTACACCTTTTTATGTGCAGTGCTGTTCTAGAGCCTATAATCCTGCCTTTGATTTGAGGTCACTTTGGTGCCAAATGCACCAGAACCACAGAATGTTAGAGTCGAAATGGACTTAGAGCTTATCTAGGCCTGTGGTTTTTAAGCTGTGCTAGGATGAGCTACAGGGAGTGGAGACACCAAAGCCAGGGGTAGGGTAAAGTCAGAGCTTGGGGGGTGAGCTGGAGGAGCTCTGAGACCATGCTACCAATCCCCAATCCACACTTGAGATGTATTCTTCTATTCCTGAGACTCTGAAGTAAGAGTTCACCGAAGAAAGGACTCTGCTTGGTATTTTGGTGTGGTGTGGTGTTTTGTTTTAATCCCGGCCCATCATTTTACCTGTAAGGCAACTGGAGGCCCAGGGAATGGAGATGACTTGACCGAAGCCATCCTTGACCTTAGGACTTGACCTCAACTTCATCTGAAGGTCCAGCATGGCCTCTACAGTAGAGGAAGTGACTGACCTCTTG